CCTTGATCGGCGCGATCTTGGCCACAGGCAAGAGGTCAAATGTCTGGCAGTCTATGATTAATTTGGGAGTGGGCCAAGTTCCAAATTAAGGAGGGCATGACAATTCCTTCCAAGTAGAAGGGAGTTTTGATCATGGCACAAATGAGATCCTTCCACGTTGATATACAGTTCTTTTGGGAAAGACATGCGAGAACATTCTCTTGGCGCAACCATGATGACCGTGGCTCAGGCAATCGGCTGAATCAGGGAACTGAGGCTGGGGAAGTGGCTGCTTTTGATTTGGACCTGCTGAGCCAGCTGCATGGCATCAAGGGAGCAGATGGTTCCTTGGCAGTTAGCCATACAATTCTTTAGACGTTTTTGAGATTTTAGTTGTGTTTGTGGCACGTCCCACTCAGTGCCTCACCTTTAGCCAAGGTAACAGCCTGCAGCATCTCATCTTCCAAGATTTCTTTGATCCACTGAACACCCAAGCTGCGGATTGCCTGGAGTCGCTGGGCCCCATCTTGCAAAATGTCAGCCGCAAAGTGGTCCACGACGAACAAAATCCGCGGGTCAGCAAAGCTGCACACCTGGCACTGGAAGAAAGCGATGAAGCCATTTCGGCGCTTCAGGGTGAGCTCTTGGCAATGAAGGCTTGGGTCGAAAAGTCGAAAGGGCACGGCCTTTAACTTCTGAGCCTTTTGAACAACTTCTGCTCCCCGCCTAAATGTCAAAAGTGTTCGGAGGGGGTCAGAAGATCAACCCAGGCTTCACTGGAAGTATGCACTGGACCGCTGGCTGATGGTGATGCGGTCAAGCTGCGGCTTCAGCGGGAGTTTGCAGCTGCTGAGAAATCTATCGCTGGTGTGATACAGACACGGGATGCTCTCAAGATACAGTATGAGGGCATAGCAGCGTGGCTTCGCAAACCAGCAATGAGGCGGGAGCAACTTCACGCCCGGGATAACCTGTTTAGAGGCTTTGCCCTGTTCGCTCTTTTGATGAAACTACCCCCCCCCCCCGCAAGAAAAGAAACATGGCGGTTGACCGCAACAAAGGGTGCTCCCTCAAGAAAAGCACAAACAAATGGGGCGCTGTGGAAAGCCTTTTGAGCTGTAGAGTTGCACTTTTGAGAGATATCAAGCGGCGTTCGACATGTTGGGTGTGGGATATTGCGGGTGTCTTATCCAAACAAGCATCTCAAAATTCGGGTTTTGAATGTGTCATACCGGGGGGGGTGGGGGGTACAGGGGCCATCCAGGGTATACCCCGAAAAAGGTTCTTATGGCTTGTAGGTGGAGGGCGTTCATTTAAGATGAGTGGGACCTTAGATAAAGTTGAGACTGGGTTGTTGAAAGTCAGTCCATCCTTATGCCAGATGGTAGTGGTTTGTAGTGGTGTCCAGCTAGGGAAAAACATCAATTCCTGGCGGTTTCTGTAGGATCCAATTTTGAACAACCGAGATAGGCGAACCATGTTTGTTTCAGGTGAGGCAAATCACCGAGAATTTGGTTTGGTCGCCAGGAGCGCCGAGCTTTGTTTGATGTGGGACAACTTCTTGCTTCCCAGCGAGCTGCTGCTCGCACGCTCCCAAGACTCGAAGAACTGGCCCGTTTTACGAGCAGCTGTTACATGGCACTGGGTCCCTTTGAAGTGAGTCAATTGAGTGGTTCTCTTTCTTTTGCCGGGCGGGGAAAGCCCTGTGAACCACCATTTAGCTGTTTGAGGATGTCACTTTCATGGACCAGTTCAATCAATTCACGACCCAAAAAAGACATCAGGACATGCAGTCTAAAAACCGCCCATACTCATTCCTGAGATTTCTGGCAGTGATTCCCCACAATGTGCAATGGTCAATATTTGTCGTCCCTGCAACCCTGGAAATTACATTGAGCACACTCACCAAGTTGCCACCCAGCAAAATCTGATGTCTTGGGGGCACACAATAAATGCGTACGTGATAGCCCGTTCACCTTGGCTCAAAGGAAAACACAAGCAAGGCAGAAATCCTTTTTGAGTTCCCCGCCCCTTTGTCACACACACACACACCCAATGTATCTATATATATATACATATATATATATATACACGTTAATTTAAACGCTTCGCGTTGCCCGCCTCGGCCTTGGTTTTGGCTGGCTTTGAGGTAGTGTGTTGGTTTGCCTTGAGGTGTGGTGTTTGTTTGAGTGAGTGTGTCCAGCACCGACGTGCGATAGAGGGTGGGTGCAGAGTTACAGAAGGGTGGGCTGGGGCCAAGCGAAGCCTGCGGGCCTGGGCTGAGCGAACTGGATTGGTTTCTAGAGAATTTGACTGGCTTCTCGGCTGCTAGGCGGATTGACCGGAGTTGGACCAGTTTTTAAAGGGGATCTTGGTTTCTGGCGAAGAATTTGACCGGTTTCTAGGGGGATTTGACTGGAGTGGGCCGGTTTTTAGATGGGATAAGCGGGAAGTTGACAATCTAGGGCGCTTTGCTCGGTTTGTAGGCTTGAAATCCTTGTAGCTGGAGCAGGGATTTGGTCTGCGTGAGCGGGGCTTGAAGGGATCTTCCAGGCTTCTTCAGACGGACTGGAGGGGCAGCTGCAGAGACTTTGATTGCGCGACATGGGTTGGGGGGGGACCAATTTCGAAGTATATATATATGTGTATATATAAACATACATATATGTGTATACATACATAGGTACATAATATACATACACACAGGGAGATTGACCGAATGGCACGCTGCCAGGCAGGCAAGCTTTGAGGCTCTTTTCTGCCAGGCTGGAGGGACAATCTCGGACCCGACAGCCTTGAGGCTTCGATGACTGGATGACCCTTCCATTTTCCAACCTCTAAGGTTGACGGTCGGTCCCAAAAACCGTTGGTACGTTGACGGAACCACCCAACCCGAGTCCTGACTCAAGTGTGATGAGCTTTCGGCACGTTTGCATCAGAGCTCTGCAGGGGGAGACTTTCAGCCTCGAGGATTTCCGAGACCTTTGGCAGCCCCTATGCTTGCAAGGCCAAAGCTTATGCCAAAGGGGCTTCTCAAATTGTGGCCCCCTAAAACGACTGGTACTCCCTAATTTTCCCACAACTACCGACAGATACTCTTTGATTTGTCCAAACACAGAAGATGTTCCGCAATGTTTGCCTCCGCACAGCCGATGTTTGATGGGCTTGGTCTCCCCCATCTCAGGCTAGATGCGCCGCGCTGCAGGACGGGACTTTGCCCGCTTCCGCTAGTTCTCAGCGAGTACTAGCCCCGAGCATGCTTGGAAGGGTTGGGATATCAAAAAAGGATACAAAAGGTTCATGGTACCCAAGATTGTTGAATTGTGTGGGTCTGATAGGTTTATCCCTTCCCTGAGAACCAGCAGGAGTGAGTCCCACCGGAACCTGACTTGGGGGTCTCTTGAAATTCATTCCCTTGGACATGTCTTAACCCCATACCTTGTAATTTATGGGATGAGTACTGGGTCCAACTTAAAATAACTTCATTGTTGAGGGGGCCCTTTTACCAAAGGAATCCAATTTAAAATGTCATGGGAACGCCACTTTGACATCACAGAAAGGTTGCTCTCTCACAACCATGTTTAGAGGGCAGAGGGTCATGTTTGAGGATGTCCCAGGCCTTGAACCTTCACCGCCCCCCCCCCCCCCACCGACGGCTGTGCAATGGTTTGTTCCGAGAACTCAGCCCTGTTTTGGGGCCCTGCGGACAGCCAGCCCAATTCCAGCCACTGTTCGAACGGTTTGGATTGACAATGTAGGTGTGTCCGCTCTTGAGGACCCCCCTTTTGGTTTGACGTGGCAACCAAAAGAAAGCCGTGGCCATTTCACGGGTACGCGTATTTGGAGACTGGCCCGCGTCGCAGAGGACATACTCTGAAGAAGAAGAGGGCGATCCTCCATTTCAGAGGACGCAAAAGTTGCATCGGCCGCGAGACATGTGATGCGCTGTGAGGCAGCTGTCAAGATCGCCTGCCGAACCAGAGGCTCGATTTTGTGAGCCGCGCTCCATATGTCTTGATGAGTGACTTTGGAATTTGGTGAGGAAACCTCCCGATTGCTAGACTCAAGGTCAGCCCCTTTACTATAGAATAATTGTGAACATTGACCTACTAGTGCCCTTCAGGACAATGCAGGGCTGTCACCAACCAGTCTCAGACTCGGCAACTTGTGGGCGTGGTTTTTGAGAGTACCCTTTGCACCTTGGTGTTCAGGGAATCCAAAAACCACAATGTTTGACATTTTCTAGGCCTCCTACTTTGACACATAGCCTTCTAGCAAGCGTTGAGACAAGTGAGAGACTAAGGCCCGGGTGGCCGCCACGTCCCTCTCATCTCGCTTCCCTGGAGGAGCTTTCATGCAATCAGGGGACCAGGCATGAACGGGGTCTAGTCAACGGGCTCCGATCACTTACCAAAGGACAATCACGTGTGTGGAATCCGAAAGGAACCCATTTGTTAGAATCCATTCAACGGGTCGCCCAGCTGAAGACTCAGCATGTTTTCCTACCTGCAGAGGAGAGACATTGCACAGGGTTCGGGGCTTGGTGGACGGGTGGTCTTTTTTAGACGACCTTGAAAGAATGTATGGTTGCCCCCGAAAAATGATTCCGGTTTCTTGGAGGTATGCTTAAACAAAAGGAGCAAAAGGACCACCCTGTCAGGGAGTGACTGTGCTTGGGCCCGCTTCGATCCTTGCACTTGTATCCATCCTCCCACTGGCATGAGCCCAGGTGACACCATTTGGAATGCGGTGCAGGCTGGATTGCTTGGGCCAGTAAAACCAGGGTTGTATTTTTGAGTAATCCCAAGGTAGACTTAACCCAAGGGTTTGTTCCTTTTCAGCAACTCAGCCACCCGTTGGGATTCCAAGCACTGGGTTCCTTGGTAATGCTGCAAAAGTGTTTGGTTTTGGGGTTCAAGCGATCGGAACCCGTAGGTCCCCTGACATGGGCCGCGAGCCCCATCTTTTCGACATATTTGACGTTTGCATGTCATCTACAGTTGATCGACCTTTTGCTCAATGGGGCAGCTGACTTGGAATCACAGGCCCAAGCCGCCCCAGTGCCATTGGCAGAGTTGCAGCGGGGCACCCAGAGCCGCTAAGGATGCGTTTTGAGGGGTATGTCCCCAAATGGTAAACTCTGTTTGGGCACATATGTTTGGTGTCGTGTCAAGAGAAAACTCCTTTGAGGGGATCGCTACGGTCAACAGTAGGTTCATTCCCAAACATCTCTGGATTCCCTGCTGAGAACCAGCAAGTGTTCGGGCGTACCCATTTAAGATTCAAATTGCATAGCGCTCTGCATGACTCACCATACGACACTCAGCTTCTGAAGGCACACTCCTCCAAACCCACGGGATGGTGGGTAGCCAGCAAGAACATAGGAGACCCCGCAAATTGTTGGGTTCCTTTTCGTTCGGACACCACGTAAATGCTGAGGTCGCGGTTTTCCGTCAAAGCTTGCGCGGAAGCTGAGAAGAGATGGGCAGCCAGAGAGGCGGTCCACCTCTCCAGAGTATTTGTGACACCGTGGCCTGGTAAAGGCAAGATTTCAAGTCAAGGAGAATGCCAAGGACCGGGACCGGGAGGGTGCATGAGAGGTTAAAACGGATCCATTTGGAGGTTTCTCAATTAGGGATCGGTTCCCTAAGCTACTAAAATGGACCATAATTGTCTCATTTCAGGTGGCACGATTTTGTCAGGAGAACGCCCTGAGATGGGCCAGCGTTGCTCAGCAGCTGCCGAAGGTGGAGGACCTGGTGGCACTTCTGCAGGCGGAAAGCGCGGGCGAAGCCGAGGCAAAGGTGTCCTTTGTAGCATTTATCCAGAGATGATCTTTGCATGTGGTTGACATCAGTAGCCATACATCATACATCTCTATGCGGGTGTTTATGTCAATTGAGAGTGCACATGTTGAAATGAGGAGGGATTAGACCAGAGAATCTGTTGGACCCCCTTTTGGACCCAAAGACGGACATACGGGGTGATTGTCCATTGCCCATTGCTCCATGACGAGAAACAACGTATTTGGGAACGGCTTTGCTAAGTTGCTGAAGAGAAGGGATCCCTGAACAGAATCGGAAGGGTGTCGCTAGTGACAGAGTGAGTCCCCCTTCAAAGGGTCCCTGCTTTTGCCTACCTCCCCTTCCATTTTCCTCGAGTGGGGCTTTAAACTTAAAACATTGGAATTGGGCAAGACCAGTGAGAAAATTGCCTCAAATGGGTTTGCGGGTGCCAGAGTCTTTTGGCCACTGAACATCGGGGGAGGGAGTCTCCGTTGGCTTGCATATTTTGTCAACGGGAGAGTCTTGTTCGACTCCTCACCGGAGTGAAGCTGAACTGCCAAGCGATATGGCGGCTCCTTTTTTCAAGGAGGTTCTGTACACCAGGGTGTGGGTGTTTTTGAGGGTAGCCTTTTTTGGGTTGATTTAAAGAGAACCTAAAGGGAACCGCTCAATTTGTGGAAGGTTGGCGTAGCTCAAGGCTTACATGCTGAGCTTCTTGCTGTAACATCACACAGTCAATATCGTTGTTTTGTTGATTCCATAATTCCACAAAAATGTTTGACTGGGGCGATGTTGCAAGGGGAGACGTGAATTGCCAGGTCAAACCACTCGCAAAAGAGTACCCTCGACAAATGGACAACCACTGCAACATACTGCCCTGCAAATTAACCAAATTAAAATGACCCCAAAACGGGGGTTCCCCAACAGCAGTTTCCTCCAACAACGGCGTTGTTTTTTGGGGGGCATGTCAATCTGCAGGAGAGCACGGCTCGGGCCAAAGCACTCAGAACCCCGGTTCCTGAATTCCCCGCAGCAGGAGCTGCCTGTGGCAGCTGCATGCCAATGCACGCTGGAGCAGCTACGCAAGGCCTGTTGGTCAAACGCCCTTTTACATGGGATTGGTACTGTGGATGCACCACATCCTGCACAGTTGGAAGTAGGTGTTGCAACCTAGTCACAGGGTTTCGCCCAACACAGAAACAAGCTCACGAACCAGGACAAAAGGGCACGAAGGGGCTGGCACACGTCGCTCACTGCACACGGCGGTTGCTGTAGTTTGTTCCATGGTCGAGTGGCCCGCCTGGGTCTTGTGCAATCTGGCAGACCCCCTAGTTGCCGTAAAGAACATGGGACCGTGAGCGAGTGCCCCTGGTTTCTGACGGAAAGTGGAGTGAATCCCCCCTTGTTCTTGCCAGGTGGACCGAACCTCATATGCACCGCCGTCAAGACTACTGTTACACTTGTCAGTGTCCGGCACCATCATGGTTCCCTGAATTATTCGGAACCCCGTTCATGGTCTAAAGTCCCACGGCGCGAGGCCCACCCGAATTGTCCATCTTAGGGCTGGGGATACAATAGGACAAATGCCGCTCTAGTTGTTCACAGGCATTGCGAGCAACATGGGCCCGCTAGGTTGCATGGTGGCCAGTGAGGCTTACTGGCCAGTATGCTATCCGTTGTATCTCAGCATGCCCCTTTTCACTCGAGATTGGCCCGCCTTTTAAGGAAAGACATA